GGCAGCCCTAGTGGTCGCCTCTTTGACTGTGGGGGACACCCTTCAGCTGCCGCTATCAGTTTAATTAAATGGGTAGCAACCAAACCATTTTTCATTCATTGAAGTGTTTTCCAATGCCTCTACGCCTCAAACTAATTCCCCTTGGAGATTTAGATATTATGTTGTCTATATCATGGGCTTCATATGAATCTGGAAATATGGGGCTAACAATTGAGGCCTCCAAGTTGACCTTCTCCAATTACATCAAATAACCTTAATGCAATCAAATTTGTAATTGGGCTTTGAAATTATCCTTTCTGCTACCTCCTACAACTAAAAAGAACAATAATAAAAATAAAATTGTAGCTATGATAATAAGATGAATATTAGAGATAACCACAGGGAATCCTAGAAGTACTTTCTGTTGATAATAGAATCGTACTCTTCATTTTTCTGAAGATAGTTGCGACAAAATGCCTACTTGATTCTTAATAATACTGAAGTACAGACTGCAATTTATAGTCATTTCTTCGTTAAACCAATTACAAAGTTCGTTAGTTTTAACATGCACAAGTAACGAACTTGTCCCTTATCACTCGATTTGTTCTGAACTAATCAACAAATTTGTAAATGATACCTCACGTTATAATATGGCAATGACACTAGGGTTAGTGTCGCTGTTTTCGGTCATCGTCATCCTCTTCATCAGAATCGCCACTCTCCCGGAACCTTGGATTTTTCTGCTGTTACAGCACGAACAGTTAAATACTGAAGCATGGCAACATAAACAGCCAAAGAAAGCAGTGTACATAGTAATCGTTTTAATATCGGGTAACAACTAAAGATTCATTTTGTAAGATGGAAGTGCCGCATGCAAGCACGGTGTGGTGTCTTTTGTCAAAACTTAAGCACACAAAGATGACTAAGGGCATGTTTGGAATTGAGATTGGAAAAACTAGAACCACATCTATTTTAAAATTAACTCATTCAAAATCACTCTTGGTTGTATGAAAATCCTTTTTAAAATGTAGAATCAATCGTTGAAACGACTATACAAAAACCACTTTCAAACATGTCCTAAGATGAAGCATCATTTAGAAATTACCGGTCTTGATTCATGATCAGGATTTCTTCTAGAGTCATAATCTGAAGTTCTCTTGGAGCTTTCATGGGCATGCCGATCATCATCTCGGTAGCGCTTACGATTGTGGTAATCTAGTTTTTTAAACAACAATAATGTAGTCTGATAAATATCAAGAAACCCCTGGAATGCAAATAAATTCCCATTCATCAGATGATTAAAATGCTTTAGAAATTTGATACCTCTTCCATGACGAGGCCCATTTCCGTGGCTTCCACCATGTTTACCGTCTGCAGGAAAAAAAAAAAAAAAAAACAGGAAAGTCAAGGCATATCAAATCAATAACGTTTATGCATACTGTCCATACATAGGATTCCTCATAGCAACTCACACTGCGGTATGACTGACGGCACAGAGCCTAGTGAACCAGTACCGTAATCCACAAGCTGCCTCTGTGCTTCCAACTCTTTCTGAACTAACTTTCCATAGCCACCTCTACGTTCAATAAATTAAGGAAACTACAAAGAAATGTGAAATTTAAAGGACATGGGGTGTCAAAAAATGAACATTATCAGACAAAATTTATATATGAATGAGCTATGATATTAAATTTAACAAAAGTTAAGGACGTTTATCACATGCCAATTGAGGAACGACAAACTAAACAGAAGGCACTCAGTAGCGCAACGGTAGTCAATGTGTAAGTTAGCCATTCGCACCAATGGGTTATTGATCCCCTCTTGGAATGTATGGCTCCTAGTTGTAATCTAGGAGGCATGAACACTCTGTTTTAGGTAGACTGTCTATGTCGTACTCAGACATGTGTTGGACATGGACTTATATAGACACACAAACATGTGCCCAACAAGCTAAAAAAAAAGTCGTCATATACATTTTTTCCAACTACAGACAGGACTGGGGCATGAATTTGGAGCAAAATTAAAGCCTAATCCATCCAAGCACAACCTAACAAGTGAAGTGAAAAAAAAAAGTAAAAGAAAGGAAAAAGATGGATTCTATAACATATTCTAATTCTCATACTTTAGATCATTCCTAAAACATTAGGATCACATATTCTTCCTCTAGCCATGACCAACCAAATCGTTCTATATTGTTAATTGACACGAGTTTATATGTTTTTTTTGTGAAGTATATTTATTTTTACGGTAAACTTACATGTTTTATCTATTATAAGGTATTAAATATATCAATACATACACATATATTCTATATGAAACAAACTGTCTCCAACATATCCATGTAATGGTTTTTTAGAAAATGACGTGTTGCATCCTCGCCTTTTGAGGTTGTAATCAATTTAATTTTATGAAACTTGGATTTGTGTAATTGTGTTTAGATTTTGCTAAAAAAACTGAGTGATATGAATCAACTGTGTATATTCTATTCTATATATATGTATATATAAAAAGAGAGAGGACAACAAATGAATATTGAGTTGATAAATGGTACCCAAAAAAATGCAAAAGATATCTATTTTTCAGTGCATCAGACAATGATTTCCATAATCTATATAGTGAGTAACAGTATTAAAAGAAAAAAAGGATATCAGGATCATAGTCTGTTCGATATTCATCACGCACCTGTGAACAACAAAGCAAAATGAAATAAACAGGAAGTGATTGTAGGACTCCAAGTCATGAATTAATTTGACATAGATCAGAAACACTACCTGTCCACCACTTCGACCACGACCCCATTGCCTGCCATCCTGAAATCCCCAATCAAAATCCGCACGGATGGGCCGATCATCAAGAATTGTTCCACTTATATATTTTACAGCATCCTCGGTATCCTCCCGAGAATAGTATCTAACAAAGTGTAGATAAAATAAGCAACCATTTTAAAAGGATAGCCCCATAAATTGAAAGGCTTAAATGCAGACATATGTAAAACATTTCTTGCAAGAATGAGTACCAAAGGCATGAGATGAGCAAACAATCTCAAGGTTAAAATGGACCCAGATAGATCGAATAGCGATCATTCCCAACTGCCTTCAATTATTCAAAATGATTTTGCACTAAGCAGGTGACAATCACGAGGATCAATATACATCTAGGTGCATATGAAGTGATGTATATGGACAGAAGAAAGCAGTAGGCTGCATTAATGAACTGCTGATAGAACTCAGGGTATCAAAGAAAAATCATTATAAAGTTAAATTGCAAGGACAGTAACACACGAGTATTTTCGAGAGACTACTCTCTCCCTCCCCCTGTCTCTCTTGCACAGAGGGCTAATAACAGCAGACAGTTTTGAGCAGCAAATACATAATTAAATACGTTTATTGAATAACTCCAATTGGCATAATATAATTGTATGGTTGAATATTGATAAAAAGCACATCAATATATTCTACTAGTTAGGAAGAAGAACTATGAAGTCTTACAGGACAAAACAAAAGCCACAAGGTGTTTTTGAATTCTTATCCAAACCCATGATTATCTTCTTAATTTCTCCAGCTCGAGAAAAAAGCTCATAAACTTGCTCTTCTGTTGTATAAAAGGACATATTTCCCACGTAAACGGTGGTTGAAGTCTGAAGAGCCAGTTCAAATTCATCTTGGGTTCCCTGAAATCTTCTATCCCGGTATACAGATAGCTTTGATGGGTCCTACAAATGATCAAGTTGAAAGCAGGAAGCTTGTCTTAGATAGAATCATAGAAACATCACCTATCACCTAACTACATACATGCGACATTATTCCTTTCAATAGATTCCTCTTACTTTGAATGCTTTTAAACATTTTAACCGTGTGTCGTAACAATAATCAGAGTACCCTTTGGTAACAAAATCATCATCTCAATTGATTTAAGCATATATCTTCGATAAAAGGTAAAAAGTTCAAATCTCACCAATAACTCAAAATAATAAGAATAATAATAATAATGGTGACAAAACTATAATATCGATCAGAAAACTACGTCTCAGACATTTGGTACCAAAATGAGTGTCGTAGCAAATAAAATAAATCGAAACAACAAATTTCCTTCATGCAGTTCACAGAAACTAACTCTCAGACATGTCCGAATATAACTTGCCAAGACGCCTTTGACACACCCCAAAAACCTAATGGAGCGGAAAACGAATCAACCATGCAATAAAATTTTAGGCATTAACTGCAGGAAAAGTTCTTCGTTATCTAAAATGGAAATAGAAAAGCAATTTACCTTGAACAACGAAGCCATGAACCCAAGAAGAACAAAATCTGCAACAAGACTCGAAAAACCACTCTAGCTGAAGTAGCTAGCAGACACTCAACGAATCAAAGGTTCAAAATGCAATCGTCTATATCAGGTGTCAGGAATTTGGGCGATAATATAATCAGCCAATGCGAGAAACAGAAGTGGAAAAGGAAGAAGTAAAGCACAGATTAGAGCCGCTTCAAATCAAATTAGCAGGTAAATTTCGGGTTGGAATTAGCTTAAGAACTGGAGAACTCGTTGGGTGAGCTCAGTCGCCCGATTCTGCTCGTGCAATTCTTCCCCCGCGCTGCGTTATGCACAATAAACTTACCCAATATTTATTGTACTACAAAAATTGAATGATCCTAGGAGTAATAACCTTCATTTATTAATTCAATATTTAATGTAAACTCTTAGGTTAAAATTAAAAAAAAAATTAAAAAAATCATTTTTTATCCTAAACTAATAAGATGGATTAAAATTAATAAGCTTATAAATTTGAAATTTAATTTCATGAATTAAAAAATTAGAGATTTAATTGTAAAAAATATAATAAATTTGAGGTTTAAACAGAAAAAGCGTAATTTTAGGGTGAAAAATGCCTTTTATTTTCAAATTATAAACGAAATGAAACAAAAATTAAAACTGATTTATGCATTATTTACTAAAAGAAGGCCTCAATTTTAGAATTATTTCGAAAGTGCCCCTTTTAAAATGATATTTCGAAATTACCCCGGCCGTGTAGCAAGTTAGAAACCCTTCACACTCAAAGTAGGGTTTTAGCTTTAACCCTCTGCAGCCAAGAAGCCAGAGTCGAGTTCTTGTTGTTGATAGTCTGTACTAAGAACGGACTTTCAGAATCTATCATTTCTTCAGATTAACAATGGCTTCAATTGGTGCTAGATCTGTTTTCCGGTCATTTTCAGGCTCGGCACGCCGTGCTGCTGCTCAGATCGGTTCTCAAGCCAAGTCGTCATCAAGTACTCCTTTTCGCATGGCAACTACGAAGCCTCTCTCCCATCGAACTTTCAGGTGCGTTGCTTAATGCTTTTGCGTCCATTTGAAGTGCCAAAGATTCTGTATCTAGAGATCTTGGAGTTTCTTTTCTCCAAAAGGAGTCAACGAAAACGGTGTTCCATCTTCAAATTTATTTCTCTCAGTTTTTTAGTTGCGATACTAAGCTCTAGAACTTTGAAATGACAACAAGATAGCCTTTCTCCTTTACCTTGTTTTTAAACAACGAGCTCGGCAAAATGCTTCAATAAATTAGGTAATGTATTTTGCCTGAAGGTGTGCGGCTGAGATGAGCTTCTGTTTGGAGTCGATGATGCCATTTCACTCTGCGTCATCTTCAGCTTTGATGACCTCAATGCTCTCTGTCTCGCGCAGCTGCTGCGGTTGGCTTCCCGAAGGTGCGTAACTGATAATTGAACTCTGAAGTTTCTTGATCTGTCACGAGCTAGATCGAAAGAGGCAAGGACGCTAATATAAATTTGTATAGCTTGGAATTTAGATCATATCTACGATTTTAGCATGATTTCTTCCGTGGACAAGAAAGAAAGCTGATAATTTGCCGGAAGTTGATTTTCTATTTGCATTGGTTCTTCGTTGGATGAATCTCAGATTTATAATTATTTGCATGAATCAAGAAAGAGAGCAGTAGCTTGGGCGAGAATAATGGTCAACTATATTTATAAATAGTGATATCTATATTAAGGTTTAGGGGTCATAATCTGATGTTTCTTGAGGATGAAAGATCTATGCTAGTATTCTTTGATTAAAGTAGTCATGTCTATGAACCATCAGACGGTACTCCATGAAAAGTTTTCTTTTTGGGTTAAATTTAGTACTGATACGGATTATTATGCCAAGATACCTGATCCAACTTCGTAATTTTCTTGTTTTTTTGTTTTGAAAGGAGAAGTGGGTCTGCTTCTAGGTTGTCTAACTAGATTTTTTACTCTTGAATTAGGCAGCTAGCACACTTTATAGGCCCATTGATGTTCTTCTTGCCTTCTTGTTGCTCTGGTGAGTTGGTGCCTGTAAACTCATATAGGACTGATAAAGTTGAACGGAATAATAGTTAACATGCATGTACAACAACTCGATCATTTTCCCCCTAGTAGACAGTTTATTACACCTAGTAGAAGATCTTCAAATTAGGATGCAAACAAGCCTAACAAACAATAACGATTCATTCTCTCTTTCCCCCACCTTCCATCACCATACATCGATTAGAGTTTGAAGTCCTTTTGCTGAACTCGGGTGTTATAAACCTTCTCTTGATTATTTTATATGTTTACTAGAACGAGTCATTCATGCAAAAACCTTCCATTTTTTTATTCAAATTGTTAATTGAAAAAAATACATTCCCCTGTTTTGAATGTAGGCAAAGACAAGACTAGATGAGGATCGAGAAGCAGGAAGGAATGACTTGACTTGTTTTTTGAGTTTCGCCTATAAGTCCTAGCGATGAATATCCCCATGCCCTACCCCCAAGACAAAGAATAGAAAGAAGAAAACAAACTTCTAGGAGATGATCCTATCAATAGGTTAAATGAGATGATTGTATTTGGAATGAAATAATAAACTACGATATTCTATTTCATTCACTGTGTTTGTAGATGGCTGTCTTGTGAAGTGTTGAAAGATTACATGTTCAATTTAGTTCTGCAATTATATTGGATTACAGACTACTCGATTGTTGCAGAATAAATTTCTGTTTTGCAATATTTACTTTGTTTGTCAAGTATTTGGCACTGTTGATTTGTTGTTATCTTCCCAATTCCACTACTTTAATGAGGAGTTTGCGGTTTAAATACACACACCTTTTTTTTTTCAACTTAATTTAAGGATGATTGGTGAATTTTTAATGTCTGCAACCTCCCAATTTGTTTCTTGTTTTGATTGGAATATCAAACTGACATTAATAACACATTGATCACTTGTGTTCATCAGCATGCAATGATGATCTATGATAAATGGCAAAAGAATCTGAGGAAGTTCTCAATCCAATCCTCTACAAGGACAGTGATTTCTATTAAGGGTGGTTTGTGAAGAGGAGCTTCCGATCAATAGCAATGGTTGATTGTTGTTTGACGACAGGTCTAAACTTTTAGTGCTAAAAATGTTCATCATATACTTCATACTTTACGTAGTACTCAAGTACTGTTAACATTTTTATGTGATCATATTGTATTTTGCCTGATGCATGGTTGAGTAGAAGCATCTTGAATTTTTTGCAAAAAAATTTCGATCTGCCTTTGAGTTTACATCCTTGTAAGAAATACTTTTGAATTTTGATTAAAGATATGAAGTTTTCACATCATTGTAAGGAATGATTCATTCTCCTTTTCATTCGATCGATGTGGGATCTCACACCGATAGATTTTGGATTTACATCCCACTTGCATTAAAAAGCAGATAAATGGTCTTTATCAATGGTCGTACCCCGCAGGGAGAAATTACATGGTTCAAACAACATTCAAAAGAGGAGGAGGAGAAACCTAATTCCTCCTTGAACCATTAATCTAATAGAAACATTAGCATTTACATAATTTACATGTACATAAAGCAATCCATAATAAGCGGTTTAAGGGGGTGGCTTGGAACCTCACCCATCAAATAAGCCCTGTATAGATTTAGAGTGCGTTCTTCCTTGCCTGAATTTTGCAGAAAATTAGAGGACTATCACGTCCTCTACCTAAACAAGTTGTGGATGATCAGGACTACGTCCCTCTGTCCATAAAACGTCGCTGCACACCATAATTCTCGAATTTGAGCTGATTAGTTCAGCGTTTTGAAACATGAAACCATGTTTGATGGGCAGAGGGAAACCCTTCCTGAAATACGAGTTTGCATTTGGCAACAACGTGGTTTCGACCAGAGTTTGCACAACGGGCTGCAAATTTGCAACGTTGAGGGATAATAAGTCGACTTGAAATAGACATAGAACAACTTTCTTTTAGAATGAAGGATAAATAGAATAGTAATCTACCTGAATTAGGTCCATATGCAGATTGCCAATATTGCTCCACTTCAACGACATCTCCAAATCGTTCAAATCGATGCTGCCCACCAGGTTGTTCCCTGAGATTTTAGCTGTACTGGAGGCATGAACCAACTGAAATGCAAAGAAGTGGAAGAAGGTTGAATCTTGATGATGCATTCATATCATGGTTTTCCAGTTCTGAACCAGTAAACTTACCAAGGAGATGCACGCAACTGGAATCAGTTCACCAGCTTCTACTACGTCAACTATCAGGTTTACGTTCACGGTTGCAAAAATCGGGTTCTCTGAAATCCTTATGACTGGTGGAGAAGGTAAAGTTATATTCAAGCTCATGTCAGCACTAGGATATTTCTTGTACAGTTGGGGAACAATAAATCTCCATCCAGCAGTATTTAGAAGCGGCTGGTTGGGCACTTCCTTCAAACTCCACTGCATAAAGTCTGCCTGCACATGAACGAAGATTTTGGTTGGAGAAAACAACCAGATGGTAGGTGTAGCCAAGTAATACCATTGTGAGATCCCACGTCAGTGGGAGAGGAGATAAGGGTGTGGAAACCCCTCCCTAGTAGACGTTTCCTAAAAACCTTGAGAGAAAGCCCAAAATGGAAACCCCAAAGAGGACAATATCGGCTAGCGGTGGAATTGGGCCACTACAAATGATATCAAAGCCAGGCACCGAGTGGTGTGCCATTGTTAGATCCCACAACGGTTGGAGAGAAGAACGAAGCATTCCTTATAAGGGTGTGAAAACATCTCCCTAGTAGACATTTCCTAAAAACTTGGAGAGGAAGCCCAAAATAAAAACCCCAAAGAAGACAATATCGGCTAGCGGTGGAATTTGGCCACTACAAATGGTATCAAAGCTAGGCACCGAGCGGTGTGCCAGCAAGTACGCTGGCCCCCAAAGGGGATGGATTGTGAGATCCCATATTGGAGAGGAGAACGAAGCATTCCTTATAAGGGTGCAAAAACTTCTCCCTAGTAGATACGTTCTAAAAACCTTGAAGGGAAACCCAAAAGAAAAGGCCCAAATAGGACAATATTTGATAGCGATGGGATTAGACCATTACAAATGGTATCATAGCCAGACACCGAGTAGTGTGCCAGCAAGGATGTTGGGCCCCCAAGGGAGGTGGATTGTAAGATCCCACATAGATCGGTTGGAGAGGAGAACGAAACATTCCTTATAAGGGTGTGGAAACCTCTTCCTACTAGAGGCATTCTAAAAACTTTGAGGGGAACCTAAATGAGAAAACCCAAAGAGGACAATATCTGCTGGCGGCGGAACTGGGCTTGAGTAAAAAAAGATAAAATACACATAATAAAATTTGAACTTACATCGTAGTATAGGGCCAAGGCAGAGTTAAAGACTGCTTCATCTAGTGTTATTCCAAACATTTTAGAAGGATCTTTACAGGAAGGTGAAGGTGAAGGTGAGTTTTCAAAGTGATACTCAGGCATTGGTAGCTTTTCTCCCGCCCTAAACAGCCCGTTGATCTTTAAACCAAAGGAGGAGCTGCTAAGCAAGGGTTCTCCCGCAAAAGTAGTATCAAAAGAAGCATTATCGTCCACTTTGACTGCCTTAGGAAGTGTTTGCAAAAACGAATCAACCTTCAAGATTCCTTCTCCTAGTTTCTTACAAATCGCCTTTTCAACAGCAGAACTTATCTGTTCTTCAAATGCATCAACCAGCCTATTATATAACACAATAGAAGATAAGAACAAGCAGGAAAAAAGTGCAGGTCGTATTCAAAGGCATTGTTATCCTATAATCTGGCACAGAAGTAAGGACGCTAGTCCCCGAAGAGGGTAGATTGGGGGGTCCCACATCGATTGAAGAAGGGAACGAGTGTCAGCGAGGACGCTTGGCCCCGAAGGAAAGTGGACTGTGAGATCCCACATCGGTTGAGGAGGAGAACGAAACATTCTTTATAAGAGTGTGGAAACCTCTCCCTAGTAGATGCGTTTTAAAAACCTCAAAGGAAGGCCAAAAGAGAACAACATCGACTTTACTATTAATCATTTGTCAGAAAGAAACGACTAAGGATTCCATCTTAAAAGCCATGTAAATGAATGTGTATGGCTATTCTGAGCACACAGCTGATTGTCATCATAGCTAACATGTCTGGATCAACCTTGCTGAAAGACAAGGCTAAGGGAACTTAAATGGAGAGAGGATCATGAGAATAAGATCATGCTTTTGGGCAGAAGACAATGAAATGCTAGCGATGTAAACAATTGATCATAAGGAAAAATGAAGAACAATTAGAACACAATACCGTCAAACTCAAAATTCCCAGAACAAGAGTTAACATACCCTTGATGGGTTCCTCTACAATCATGAAAGAGTAACATACCCTTGATGGGTTCCTCTACAATCATGAAAGAGTTACATACCCTTGATAGAGCCAAGATGCTCCTCCATCCAACTTTATAGACATATCTTGGACAGAACAACCGCATTCCAGAAGAAATAGTTTAAGAGTTTCTTCTTGAAGCTCCAATCCTAAATTCAGTCGAACTTCCATGCCATCGACCTGTTTCGAGAGTAATTTTATCTCATCAACTAATTAATGAATAAACAGACAGATGTAGATGAACTTCATACTGACATCATTCAAAACCAAAGAGACATATACCTGAACAGAAGCACGTCCTTTGTCAGAAATCTCTGCTGGAACAAGCCAAGTACTATAGGAATAAAGCCAATCCATGCTTAAGTCACAGGTAGTTCCTGAAGCAATAATAGAAACACCCGACTCACCTGGTTTGATATCCGAGGAAGGAACATCAACTCGGTATATGGTAGTGTTGGATAGCCTCATAAGAACGTTTCCAACAAATGGGATTTTGACTGTTTTTTCGGATTCAGGCAAATTAATCGGAATCACAGAAGAAATTGCCTTGTCTATGAGCAAGTCTTTGAGGAAATCAATACCCTTTTGGGATATGATCGCAGACATGAAGGATTGGGTCGGTGAAGGATGAGCATATCCCGGGATGAGCGAAGACACCAAGAGAAGCAAGAAAAGTATTGGAGACATGGAGAGTTCGAGGACGGGGAAGCTGGAGGGGAAGTAAGAAATCAATTGGCAAACCAGAAACTCAGATGAACAGCCAACGAGAGCAGAATGGAGACTTGTCGCTATTGCTCACCGTGACGGCGATTCTGTTCTAATATCACAATTTCAGCAATTACTGAAGGGTGGACTTTTTTTTAGACAATATATAAATTTTAAGGGTATTTTTATTGATTCGACCTATTTATTTATTATTGTTTTGTTGCTGGATTGGGCCTGAGTTCGATAACTTGACAAGAACAGCAATTTTGTTGACCGACCCAATACCTTTCGGGTTGGATTCGGGCATCTCCGTATACAAAAACGCAACCTAGGGCTGCCATTCGTCCGGTTTTGCCTTGATTTCCACCGGCTTCTGCTTCTCATTCTCTTCTTTGCTAAAGGTAATCCAATTACTCAGTATTTTTGTTCAGATTTTCTGATTTGTGTTGTGCGGCTGGTTCTGTTCTTACTCGGATTTTCTCGAAACTCAAGCGTTTTTTCTGATAATTGTTTCTGGGGTTGGGGTTATGTGATACGTTGATGCGGTAGGTGTACTCTTCTCTGCGATTGATAAGTATCATGTTTTCGATCAGCTGAGATCGTTGATTTTAGATTATAGATTTCATCTCTTGTACGATTGATCTTTTATGATAATCAGTGAGTTCTTTTTGTTCTTTTAAAATCTTAGTCACCCAACAAAAATCTAATGTTTCGAAGGCATGTTATATGAGCATGGATGTTTAGAATTTGCGAATTCCTAACTCGTGCAATGCTTTATGGCCTCTATGATAGTTGCCGGTTGTGATACTTTGCGAGCCGTTGATTGCCGCCCACGGGCGTTCCTTCGTTGTGCTATTCGATTCAGGCCAAACCTTATCTTTCCGCCATGTCGTCCAAGCAAGGTACTGTCTATTTCCTTAAGGTTATGGACGATTTGAGCTTTCTGTTTCATTTTCATCTTGTATAGGATAGTATCATAGGTCGGATTCGAAGACAACTGATTTAAATTGTGACATGGAGAGTCAATTGTGTGGTATGTATGTCTTTATAGGAGGGAAAGCAAAGCCTTTGAAGCAACCCAAGGTTGACAAGAAAGAATACGATGAGGTATGCTTTGATTTTATTACGTTATGGATGGATCCTTGCCGCACGTCTATTTTCTTTCTGGTTCGAAATATCATTTTGGTCTTTGTACGTCGGGTATCATTCCACTTTTGCCCATGTATTCTCAATAGACGTATTTCAGATCAATAGTAAGTGATTACCTTATACGACGTATTTCAAATGAGAGCAAGCTAGATGTTGTGTAGTAGCCTGCTTCACTCGTGTCGCAATGTGGAGATGAGTAGGTTAGCATTAGAATAGCTATCTAACCTCGAACTTGATGATGGCGGGAACTATGTGATTCTATCGAACATGTACACACAAGGAGGTATATGAGAAGGAATCACAAGGCTAAGAGCTCTCATTATGGATAGAGGGCTAAAGAAAAGCATTGCTTGTAGTTTGATAGAGATGAGAAACAAAGGCCATGCTCCCTTATAGAAGATGCATCTCATTTCGAGTCGATAGTAGGTGACTATGGGCCTGCCAATTGGGCAAGTTTTGTAGGGTGTTGAAGATAATGAAAAGGCTGATATGGTATGTAGTCGACTCCCGAGCACATCTGTGTGAACCAGGCCCTCGATACCAAGAACCTTCGAGTTTACGAGGATAGCCACGTTGTTATCAGGGATGTCTATAATTTTGAAACAAAATGATGAAAATATGTGTTTAGTAGTGAGGTAAGTAAGCATTTTTGTGATGAACAGGTTGATCTGGCGAATATGCAGAAGAAGAAGGACGAGGAAAAGGTGAGACACCTTGAACTTAGAGCAAGAAACTATCCCACAACTCTCTTGTGGCCCATGGGTAGCTATAATTTTGAGTTGTTTTATGGAATTACAGGCGCTGAGAGAGCTGAAAGCGAAGGCCCAACAGAAGGGGGCCTTTGGAGGTGCTGGGCTGAAGAAGAGCGGGAAGAAATGATGAACTTCCCACGCAATATATAGTATAATGAAAACTGAATAATGCAAGAGTCGAATGCTTTCTTCTCTTCTCTTCTCTTCTCTTCTGTTCTGTGTAAAAACCTGGAAGACCAGAATGAAATATGAATGAATGATTATTGAAGTTCGAGTGCTTTTTAATGTTCGCCCCCATTCGAATTACGTTACGAGGTCTTTCGCTTTTGCCAGATCTAGAGAGATACTACGAGTCCTCCATCCTAGATGGACAGATTCCATCGTAACCATCTTTACATCTTAAGAACAATATAGAAAAATGTTTGATTCCATTCATTATATCAAACTTTGAAATACTCTATATTCTCCCTTTCTAAAAAATATATATTTATAATCGAAGATGTTGAACATGATCATGTTTCTTGATGGATATTAATTAAAGTTGTTCTGTCCCAAATATCTACACTGGTTCAACTACAATTTGTCACGTGTCAAACTCTTCTTTCTTATTTTTAGAATATATTTTTTTTCTCATTTGTGACGGAGTGTACCACCTAAGTACTAGTTGAAAATATTTTGTTCGGAAAAATAATATTTTTTTTATAAATGAGATAAGACTTTTCTTTTTGTAAAGGGTAAAATTGTAAGATGGGAGGTTTTTTTTTTTTTAATTTTATATATATAGTTGTAAATATTATTGGTACGGTCTAATCTAAACTATTATTAGAGATAGTGTTGGAATTATGTGAAATTTAAAATTAAATATCATTTTTGTTATTTCAAGGGCATTTTTGATAATACGAGTAGCAATTAGGGTATACATGTAAATTTATCCATTGTTTTGATGCTGGGCTGGGCCTGAGTTGACAGTTCACCGGCCCAAGACTTTTCGGTTTGATTCGGGGCACCGACTCTAACCTTCTCCCTATAAATAACGAAAAACGCAGCCTAGGGCTCTCGTTCTTGCGTGTTCGTCTTGATTTCCACAAGCTTCTGCTCCTGCTCCTGCCTCTGCTTCGCCTTCGCCTTCTCTTCTTTGGTAAAGGTGGGCATATATTGTTTTTGGAGCTATTTTTCTTGATTTCTTATATTTGTTAAGGTTATCATCAGCTTTGTGGTCGATATTTGTTTCTATGTTGTGTGGCTGTTTAATTTTTGTATTGAATTTGCTGGATGTATTAAGTTGTTACGATGACTGTTTCTGGGAGGATTACATGATAAGCTGGTGCGTTATGTGTACTCCTTTCCAATACGATTGAAAAGGATTCGTGCTTTCTATTAGATAGAGATCGTTGATTTTAGTTTCTAGGTTTTCTATTTTGTTTATCGATGAACTCGTTTACGATTCCAGTTGCGTCGTTTTTACTCGCTCTGATTCTAGGAAGGATAATGATTTTGTGGTTCAATTCTTTTAGCTATTGAATGGTTTTATAATACGCTCTTCGTTTTTTTTTTTTTTCCATCGTATCTTTGTTTCACTTGTGGTGGGCGCTTGAGGGTCGACTTCAATTTTCTAGATTAGGGCTTATGGTCATAAGTGGCCAATATTAACATTTATAATTGCAGCTGCAACTGGCAAGTGATCATTGTTTGTATTTTTCATGTTCTGTATGAATAGCAGCAAGATGAATGCGTGAGATTATTATGTGTATAACTTGATTATATTTAGAGCGCAAGGTTTTGAATTATGCGATTAACTTTTTATGTTATTGGTATCACAATTGCTCATATTGCACTTCTATGTATGACGGAAAGAAACAGCAAACATGCCAAAGAACAAGGGAAAGGGAGGAAAGAACAGGAAGAGAGGAAAGAACGAAGCAGATGATGAGAAGCGCGAGCTTGTGTTCAAGGAAGATGGTCAGGAGTATGCTCAAGTTCTCAGAATGTTGGGGAACGGTCGGTGTGAGGCAATGTGCATTGACGGGTCGAAGCGTCTTTGCCATATCCGAGGGAAGATGCACAAGAAGGTCTGGATTGCAGCTGGTGATATAATACTCGTTGGTCTTCGCGACTATCAGGATGATAAAGCTGATGTTATCCTCAAGTACATGCCTGATGAAGCAAGGCTATTGAAGGCATATGGGGAGCTTCCGGAGAACACCCGCCTCAACGAGGGTATCGCCGGCGGTATCGACGATGAGGATGATGGCGGGGTTGATGATTATCTGGAGTTTGAGGATGAAGATATTGATAAGATTTAGGGTTCGAGTGATTATTGATGTTTCGTAACCCCCATGGTTGGAGGGGGTGAGCTATTCGTCAGTCAGTCTTAGATTAACAAATGTGCATAAATTTTGAGTCTTAAAAGATTTTTCTTTTTCTGGTTCGTCTCCCCTTCCCTTTTATAATTAGACTACAACATCTATGGCTGGTTGGAAAAAATAATATTTATGGCATTTTTAGCTTTAGTTTTCGTTGGTTATTTCAAGATTTTATACCTTCTCGCCTTTTATTGGTTTATTAATTTAATTTTTTTTAAATTAATTTGTATCACTATGAAAATAAATATAAAAAACTTCACAGTATGAAAGTCTTAATATTTAAAGTAATTAGGAAAAGCCAACACCAAGGATACAAGGATTCAAGTATTGTAGAATTTTAGGGACAATGGGATGTGTTTGTCTAAGAGGAAGAGAAGTGGAACCCGACCATTCAATTCAAATAGTGTCAGAGTCGGGTTATTGGGTGATGTAGCAGTAAGAAGGTTGAATCCTGATGGATCGTTACAAATGGTATCAGAGCTAGGTTACGGGGCGATGTGATAGTAAGGAGGTTGGGAGGTCGAGTCCCGAAGAGGTAGACATGAGGTGGTGTGCTAGCAAGGACTCAGAGTCTCAAAGGGGGTAAATTGAGGCGTCTCAGAGAACAAATGCCACAAGAATGCCACAAGATGGCACTCAGTGGAGTTCAAATCTCATAGGAATATGTCGGGGTGGAGTTCAAATCTCATAAAAATATGTCGGGTCGAAGGGGAGGATATGTCGGTGGTGTGCTAGCAAGGACTCAGAGTCTCAAAGGGGGTAAATTGAGGCGTCTCAGAGAACAAATGCCACAAGAATGCCACAAGATGGCACTCAGTGGAGTTCAAATCTCATAGGAATATGTCGGGGTGGAGTTCAAATCTCATAAAAATATGTCGGGTCGAAGGGGAGGATATGTCGGTGGTNTTTTTTTTTTTTTCCATCGTATCTTTGTTTCACTTGTGGTGGGCGCTTGAGGGTCGACTTCAATTTTCTAGATTAGGGCTTATGGTCATAAGTGGCCAATATTAACATTTATAATTGCAGCTGCAACTGGCAAGTGATCATTGTTTGTATTTTTCATGTTCTGTATGAATAGCAGCAAGATGAATGCGTGAGATTATTATGTGTATAACTTGATTATATTTAGAGCGCAAGGTTTTGAATTATGCGATTAACTTTTTATGTTATTGGTATCACAATTGCTCATATTGCACTTCTATGTATGACGGAAAGAAACAGCAAACATGCCAAAGAACAAGGGAAAGGGAGGAAAGAACAGGAAGAGAGGAAAGAACGAAGCAGATGATGAGAAGCGCGAGCTTGTGTTCAAGGAAGATGGTCAGGAGTATGCTCAAGTTCTCAGAATGTTGGGGAACGGTCGGTGTGAGGCAATGTGCATTGACGGGTCGAAGCGTCTTTGCCATATCCGAGGGAAGATGCACAAGAAGGTCTGGATTGCAGCTGGTGATATAATACTCGTTGGTCTTCGCGACTATCAGGATGATAAAGCTGATGTTATCCTCAAGTACATGCCTGATGAAGCAAGGCTATTGAAGGCATATGGGGAGCTTCCGGAGAACACCCGCCTCAACGAGGGTATCGCCGGCGGTATCGACGATGAGGATGATGGCGGGGTTGATGATTATCTGGAGTTTGAGGATGAAGATATTGATAAGATTTAGGGTTCGAGTGATTATTGATGTTTCGTAACCCCCATGGTTGGAGGGGGTGAGCTATTCGTCAGTCAGTCTTAGATTAACAAATGTGCATAAATTTTGAGTCTTAAAAGATTTTTCTTTTTCTGGTTCGTCTCCCCTTCCCTTTTATAATTAGACTACAACATCTATGGCTGGTTGGAAAAAATAATATTTATGGCATTTTTAGCTTTAGTTTTCGTTGGTTATTTCAAGATTTTATACCTTCTCGCCTTTTATTGGTTTATTAATTTAATTTTTTTTAAATTAATTTGTATCACTATGAAAATAAATATAAAAAACTTCACAGTATGAAAGTCTTAATATTTAAAGTAATTAGGAAAAGCCAACACCAAGGATACAAGGATTCAAGTATTGTAGAATTTTAGGGACAATGGGATGTGTTTGTCTAAGAGGAAGAGAAGTGGAACCCGACCATTCAATTCAAATAGTGTCAGAGTCGGGTTATTGGGTGATGTAGCAGTAAGAAGGTTGAATCCTGATGGATCGTTACAAATGGTATCAGAGCTAGGTTACGGGGCGATGTGATAGTAAGGAGGTTGGGAGGTCGAGTCCCGAAGAGGTAGACATGAGGTGGTGTGCTAGCAAGGACTCAGAGTCTCAAAGGGGGTAAATTGAGGCGTCTCAGAGAACAAATGCCACAAGAATGCCACAAGATGGCACTCAGTGGAGTTCAAATCTCATAGGAATATGTCGGGGTGGAGTTCAAATCTCATAAAAATATGTCGGGTCGAAGGGGAGGATATGTCAACTACGGAAGAGAATAGACGGTGTAATGTAAGGGAATAAAACATTTTTTTACATTGTTATCGCAGACACATTTTAAAAATAGTAAGGAAAAGGTGTAGTCGGCATTTGCAGGCATAACACGAAGGAAAAGAAAAGCAGGAAGTTCCGAGTCAAACTTGTCAAACCAAAACAGAGAAAAAAAAAAAGAAAAAAAATAGAAGAAACACTTGGCAAAACCAGGCATCCTTGATTTGCCATTTGGCAGCAACTGAACCCCCGACATAGCTCAAACCCATACACGTAGGTGTAACCTTCTGGCCATAGCCCAGGTTCTTGTAATCAAACGAAAGCCGATAAGCCTTTGACCGATGGCACTCCAATCAACCAAAACATTCATAACATATCCATCCCTGACCCCAACCATATAAATACACCCCCATCTTGTTCCAAGATTACACCATCTTTTCTTTTTCTTTCCAGAACTGAAGAATACAATGAAGTCCAAAGCTGTTGTGGTTGCGTGTCTGCTGCTGTTCTTGTTGGTCTCTATCTCTGTTTCTGCGTCGGCAGCGTCCGAAGGAAGCCAACAGCAGCCTGACAAAGCTGAAGGTATTGTAATTAATTGCGCCAATAATGATCAAATAAATTTAAATCTTTTAAGTATTATTGATAATTGGTTGTTGCTTCCTGAATGTGTTGAATGATGGGACTAATTTAGAGAATAATCATGGGTTTATAAACAAAGAATACTATCTCCATTGGTACGAGTTATTTTGGGGAAGCTCAAAGCAAACTCATGAGAGCTTGTGCTCAAAGTAGACAATATCATACCATTGTGGAGAGTCGTATTCGTTTAACCTGATATTAGAATCATGCCCTAAACTTAGTCATGCCAATAGATTGGTAAATCCTCAAATGTCGAACAAAGGACTCCAACAAGAAAAAAGAGTCGAGCCTCTTCGAAGGTATGAAGGCAGTCAAAAATGACTAAAACTCCAAAGGAATCGAGCCTCAATTAAGGAGAGGCGTGCTTTGTTCGAGGGGAGGTGTTGGATGATGAAAGTCCTACCTCTGCTAATTTAAGGAATGATCATGAGTTTATAAACAAATAATACTCTCTCCATTATTATGAAGTCTTTTGGGGACATCCAGAGCATAAGCTCGTGGACAATATCATATCAATATGAAGAGTCGTGCTCGTTTAACGGAATGAATTAATGTAGGAGCAAATGCAAATACCGTGGAAGAGTCGAAGCTACACTGCTACCACGGATGCTGCAAACGGTATGGGTATCGCTGCGTGAAATGCTGCGGAAGCGCTGCAGAAGCGCAGGCCAATACCAATGCCAACACCAACGGTGAGGCACAACAGGAGCGTGCAGAAGTGGAAGCAGCCGCACATAGATGGGGAGGCCACGGCGGATGGCGAGGTGGAGGCGGACATGGAGGCGGATGGGGCGGTGGTGGAGGTGGAGGTGGGAAGTGATTAGTGTGTGTGTGTAAGTGTGGTGGTACAAAGAATAAGGGTAGGAGGTAAAGGAAAATGAATAAATAATTAAGAATGAAGGGTCATAGTGCCCTACAATAGAAGGGTTAGTTCCCTTCAGTACTACGCCACTCTTGCATGTGAAATATATATATATATATATATATTATGTCTTCGTTTTACTTTTACTACTTCTACGGCGGGTTTAAACGGTTACAAATGGTATTAGAGCCAGACACGATAATACTGACACCAGGATATAAATCCAGACAACTAATTACGTATATAATACATGGACTTATCATATTATTAGTCCTACTTATTACTTAAATAAATCAAATTAAACCGTGAATTAATGTATTTATAAATAAGGATTATATATTCCTGTATTTACAGCTGTCTATATATATATATTCATATGTATATTAAAATGTAGACATAAATATTTATAAAATGATTTTAATTCATTTTCATGATTTAAATGGTTGATTGTATTTACTAATTAATTAAATAATATTAATGGTTAAAATTAATTTAGGAATAAATATTGTTTGCCATTTCAAATTTGATAGCAAGCAATACAATTATATCTTCTAAGCAACTACAATGTAAACTATCCAATTTTTTTTAAAGATAATTAACGCGAAATAAAAATTTAATCGAATATTATAACCGTCCAAACTCACCGCTGGTAAATATTATTCTCTTTAGATTATTTCTTTTGAGTTTTCTCTCAAAGTTTTTAAAGCGCGTCAGCTATAGAGGTTTTCATACCATTATAAAAAATATTTTGTTCTCCTTTCCAACTAACGTGGGATATCTCAATCTACCTCCTTTTCAGAGCCCAACGTCCTCGCTGGCACTCGTTCCTCTCTCCAATCAATGTGAGATTTTAGAGTATAACCTTACTCGTTCCTCTCTCCAATCAATGTGAGATTTTGGAGTATAACCTTCCTCTGTTAGTCATATCACCAATTGGGCATATCCCTAAAATGGAGTGAGTTGAATCTCCAATCTCCTTAGCTTTGATACCAACTGAGCACAAAGAAACAATATATGTTAGCAGTGGGGATGAGATGTTACAAATGGTATTAGAGTCGAGAACCATATAATCTGAGGTTGAGTTACAAATGATATCAGAGTCAAAACACGGGGTGGTGTGCCAGCAAGGACACTGAGTCCCGAAAGGAGGTGGATTGAGAGATCTGACATTGGTTGGAAAGGGGGAACAAAACATTGTTTACAAGAGTGTGGAGACCTCTCCCTAGCAGACGCGTTTTAAAAACTTTTAAAAAAGACAATATCTACTAGCGGTGTGGTTAGGGTGTTATAGTTACAAAACAAAATAACCTAAACCCTAATTCGAAAATGAGAAAGAAACGGGTTTTCCCTCGGCTCTCTCTCATTTTGATTTTGTAATTAATCCTACCTACTAGGAATCTTGGAATAAAAGCATGAGCCTGAAATTGGGTGAAGAGACATGTCATTTAGTGAATGTTGTGTTAGCTAAATAGACCAGCATGGTTAGATCTTTGGTGTCTAAATGCCCCCATTTGTCATTTATTATTACACAGGAAAATAGGCATTTATTTGTTTGTTTGTTTGTTTGTTGTTATGAGGAAGGAGGAAGACAAGGTGAGCAGCCCCAAGGCGTGCAACAAAAAGGCCTCTCCTACCCTCTCCCTGCTTTTGTTTTTGGCCCAAATTTTATGATATAACTTCAACGCAAAACCATTTTCAAAACACCACCACCACAAAACCCTCTTCTCCTCCTCTTCTTCTTCTTCTTGGGAATATGAAGAGGAAAAGGAAGCGTTCCTTGAGGCTCCCATTTGAACACTTCTTCCTCCCACATCAACACTGTTGACCCACTTTCTCGCACCGGCGGCGTACATGGGAAGGCCAGGCATTTCTTTTTACTTCCATTTCCTCTTCCTTTCATCATACTTGTCTTCTCTCTTCTTCTGCAATACATATATATATATATATACACATCTTAGTTTTGTTGTTAACCAAACATTTTATGAGTATTAGTCAAAGTTCTTCCCATTGCTACCCTCAAATCATCTTCTTCTTTTGTTTATGTTCAAAGTCTTACCCAGACTGATTTAGGGAATGATCATGATTTTATAAGTACTCGTATCAAGTTAGGAATCACAACTCTCCACAATGGTAATGGTATGATATTGTCCGTCCACTTTGAGCATAAGCTCTCATGGATTTGTTTTGGGCTTCCCCAAAATGCCTCATACTAATGGAGATACTATTCCTCACTTATAAACCCATGATTTTCCACTAAATTAACGAACGTCAACAATCCTCCCCTTGAACAAAGTACACTATAAGCCTCCCCTTAATCGAGGCTCACAATTCTTTGTTTCATGTTTGAGGATTCTATTTCATGGCTAAGTTTAGGGTCATGACTCTATATCATGTTAGGAATCACAACTTTCCACAAATAGTATGATATTGTCTACTTTGAGCATAGGCTCTCATAGCTTTCCTAAAATGCCTCGTACTAATAAAGATAATATTCCTCACTTATAACCCCATGATCTTCCACTAAATTAACCAATGTGGAACTCACTCCCAATAATCCTCACCCGCTCAGAGCAAAATCACGAGAGTTTATGTTTAGAGCAGACAATGTCATACTATTACGAAGAGTCAGTGATTCCTAACTGCTTTTCTTTTTGGTGTTGGTGTATAGTATTATTATAAAAAGGCAAAAAATTTGACTAATGGGGCATGCAAATTAATGTAGACATTGGACATTGCAGTGCGTGTTGGGAGGGAAGGTTTAGGTCCAAAATTACACGCCATGCGTTGCGCCCGAGGACTTTCTTGACTTTCAACCATTTCTTTTTCTCCTATCAAAAAAACAATCTTTTTTTTATTATTATTATTAGTAGTAGGAAGAAAATAAATTTATATATATCATTTAAAATCTTAAATATAAAAAAATAGAAGTGAAGATTTATTATGATTATTAATTAGCAATAAAACTTAGGGTTATATTTATTAGTTTATATAATATTACATTTACATTGGGAATCGGATGAAGACTTTGAATCCTCAATTACAACAATACCCTCGTGTGTGTATATATATATATAATATTTATATTTCTTTCTCCATTGTTTTATTTATTCAAGGTACGTAAGTTGCATTTTACCATCATCTACTGTTTTTTTTAACCTTTTTGTATGTGTTTTCCAATTATTAGATTAAATATGGATGTTACCCTAAATGTCATCTACATTATTCTAATTAAAGAGTAATTTATGCAAAATGTAAGTATTAAATGCATTAATTACTGTGTATAATTTAACTGATATTTTACCATTTTTCAAAAAATATTTAATACCCTTAAAATTATTATTATATATTGTTTTGTTTTATTTTATTTGGGGTATGTGAATCCAAACACACAATATTATACTTGATTAAAATTAGAATTAAATCTCCTTATTTCCAGGATCTAAATTTGAATTCCCGATAAAATCCCCACCCTCCATCGGCCCAAACGGATAAAATGAAGGACGTGGCATGTCCATAATTGTCAATTGAGATGGCGACTTTGGTTCTGCCCCCACTGCTTTGCTTTGTTCATCAAGATTATGTTAGCTTTGTAGCGAAGAAATGAAAAGGGTAGCCATCTCGATGTGATCAAATCTTGTCGCCTTAGGTAACCTAGTGCGGTTTGGATGAAAGTTCCACATCGACTAATTTAGAGAATGATCGTAGATTTATAATTAAAGAATATTCTCTCAATTGGTATGAGGCATTTTGGGAAGTCCAAACCAAAATCACGAGAGGTTATGCTCAAATGGGATAATATCATACTGTTGTGTAGAGTCGTTCATCTAATATAGATGAAAGTTCGTCCATTTATGGAGATAGAGTTGAATGCAAGTAATTTTTACTGGTTTATTATTTTTTTAAAAAAAATTAAAGTTATTTTTAAAGTTTTCATTTTTTAACCTATTTTTTATTAAAAAAAAGGGTAGAAAAATGTTAATCTAGGGATATATTTGATAAAAAAAACTTATGTATTTAAAAATTTGAATTAGTTTCAAAATTAATTAATTAAATTTTTTTAATATAAATAAAAATATATGTATTGAAAATATATTTATATTATACGAGAGACGGGAAATTGGACAGGGACACGGATGGAGAATATAATCTAATTCTCCGCTCCATTTATTAATAGAAAAAAAAATATTATCCACTTCCTCCCCATTCTCTATCTAAATGAACAATCTCATCTCGAAGCGGGTCCCATGGGACTCCAACCCTACATCTAAAATGGACATGTCTAATTCCATCGTGTTCGTCACTCAGAGCCGGCTCTATTTTTCAAAATAATCATTAAATTAAAAAAACTTGTCTTTTTGTTTAATATACACAATCCCCTTCGGTTCACAACGTTACATTAAAGAGAAAAAACACAATATTTATTTATGAATATTCAAATTCGAAATCATTCTTTTTAAAAATATTAAAAAAAATCGGACATTTTCGGTTGTTTTTTTTGTTTGTTTGTTTAATTGAATGATTTTTTTTCCTCTGCTTTTGGTTACACGACGAAATTTGAAAACCCACCTCACAGGCTGAGCCCTATCTATTGCCTCTGTTTCCATTGAAAATTCCGGCTTTCTTGTGCCCTTACAACGGCTCAACCCTCCTCCATTTTCGTCGTCCTTTCCAAAAACCTTCTTTAATTCAATTTTTCTGCCATTCAATCGCTACCCTTTATCGCCTCTGGTATGATCTTATATACAATCTCTTGTTTCTGTTTTCTGGTTTCGTTTTTTGCATAAACCTTTTCCTCTTTGTCTGCGCCTGTAATTTTCTTTTGGGAAGAATCGATTTCTTCCCATTTTTTTCTTTTCTTTTTCTTTTAATATATGAATTAAGAGCCGACCCCGGAAGGCAAGAAATTATTGTTAATTTCTAGTTGGTTTTTTAAGGAATTGTTTTTGGCGGATTTGATGGCAATGGTGGGGAGGTTTTGGAGGATATTTCTTCTTCTTCTGTAGTTTTTCGTCCAAAATTGACCATTCTCATGGTTTGAAGCTGGTGGGATTTGTTTGTTTCATATTAAAGAACGAAATCACGAAATCACGAAATCCCCCTTTGT